CCTCATTCATGAGTGACTGGAATGTTGATGGCGCATTTGTGAATCGAATGGCATTACTAGGAACTCATAACGGCCATCGTGTGTTCTAAATGTCGTTTTGTGGACATCATCTGGGTGGACCCTTACTTGATGATAGCCGGATCTTAAATCCAACTTGGAGAAGATAGTGGCTGATCTGAGTTCGTCCAAGAATTCTTCGATCAGTGGTATTGGGAACCTATCCTTGACAGTAATCTGGTTTAATGCCCGGTAATCAATGCAGAATCGCCAAGTACCGCCTTTCTTCTTGACAAGCAGCACCGGTGATGAATAGGGACTGGAGCTGGGTTGTATGTGTTGCTTGGATATCAGTTCAGCTACAATCCTTTCTATTTTATTTTTTTTGATAGTTTGGATACTTGTATGGTCTTACATTTGCCGGCGGAGCACCTGGTGTGATCGGGATTATGTGATCACTTTGCCTGGATGGTGGCAACCCCTGGGGTTCCTTGAATACATCCTCAAAGTTCGCCAAGAGTCATTGGAGCTCCCTGGATATCTCTAGCTGTGGTTGTTCTGAATTCAATTCTGTCAGCTTGGGACTGTTTGGGCTTAGGCCCATATTCATCAAAAGGTGGTGTCCTTGCTATATGCAGCACTTAATCATGGATTGGAGGCCTTGATTCTGGGCTGTTATGGGCCTTACACCTTGGAGATGGCAATCCACGCCATCCACAGAAAAGTCCATTGTCATGCGCCCCTAACCACATACCACTGGGCCTAGTTGGGTGACCCAATAGACGCCGAGCACAATGTCTGCTCCTAAGAACTGAAGAGGATGCAGGTCAGCCTGAAGAAGATAGCCTTGTACCTTCATTATAGCATTTTTTCATAGGCCGAAGCATGGAAGGTTATGGCCATTGGCGACCCAAACGTTGAAAGGTTGGGTCTGATACACAGTTAGGCCTAATTGCTTGGATAAAATCTCAAAAATGAAATTTAATGTGCTGTCGCTATCTATTAGAATAGATACAGGTTTACCCGACACTATTCCTTCGACCCTCATTGTTCTTGGGGAGCTGGAACCATTCAGGGCATGTAAAGAGATCTCCGGTGAGTCTTGGTTGTTCTCCTCTAGGCTATTAGAGTCTGCCAAATTCTCTAATTCTTCTGACTCATCAGTTTGGAGTAGATAGGCCCTTTGAATCTTGCATTTGTGTCCAGGGCCGAACTTCTCTTCACAATTGTAGCAAAGGTCGCGCTCCCGGCGATTTTGCATCTCAGTCCAAGAAAGCTTCTCGTAAGGGACTAATGCCTGTGAATTCTGTTTTAGAGCTGGGGATATTATGGGCTTGGATTGAATTGGTTCGATTCTGGGTGGATTCTTGATGAGAGGGGCAGACTGGAGTAGTCGACCAATCTTTTTCCACTAGTTCAGTTTTTCTTCTTGCAATCTTGCAAGTCCCACAGCAGCCATGACAGAGGAGGGCTTCATGCTCTTCACTTCGACTCTGATGTCGTCACACAGGCCCTTGATGAAGCTCCCGAGCAATGCAATTTCAGGCCACCCTTGTATACGATTTGCCAGCTTCTCAAACTCCTACTGGTATTCCCGGACAGTACCCCTTTGGCGTAATTTGGACAAGGCTTCGTCGTGATTTTCGAACCCAGTGGGTCCAAATCTTACGCACAAAGCCTCAATGAAGTCTACCCAAGAAACTTGAGGGTGGGAATGCCAAAACCATTGAAACCATACAACAGCTTCACCTTCTAAATGGAATGAAGCAACCAGAACATGTTCATTGCTGGGTGTCTCGTGGAACTCAAAGTAACGTTCAGCTTTAAAAATCCATGGGACTGGATCGTCACCTAAATACCTTTGGGAAGTCAAGTTTTTCCCAATCGAGTGTTGATTTGTCTTTGTTCTCGACCGGTGACTTCTTGATCGCTTTCCAGGTTATTGTTAGTGGCACTCCTCCCAATCTGCGCCAGTATGGCATTCAACGACTCCTTAATGTTTTGGAGGTCGGTGGTGACCTTGTGCAGGCCGATCTCCATTTGTTCGACCCTGACTTCCATGGAGTTGGATCGTGTGCTTGGCATTGGCTCTGGTATCAGTTGTTGGGTTTCTGCCCAACACAGACATTGATTCGAGATAGTGTGATCTCCTAGAGAAGAAATGAGAGAAGGGAGAGAGAACAAAGAGGTTTCTGGGTTGAATCCTTCATAGCTCTCTTATTACTTTGCCTTGTATTTATAGATGTACAAGTTGGTTGTTGTAACAAATCAATAATCAAGATTACCACTTGTCTCTTGTACAGTTGGATCTTGCTTAGCTGGATCTTGCCTTGGTTTCTAACATGCACCTCCAAGTATAAGCTTCAAATGCATTTTGGTTGTATGTTCTCCCTGATTTTTTAAACCTTCATATCAAAATCTATCAAATATAAAGAAATAAGTTCATCTAGGTCACACAAGATAGAAGTTGAAGACCGCATATCAACAATAGAATCATATTCCTCTTTTTTTGATAAGTTAGAATCCTTTTCCATTTTATTAAATCCTTTGTTAGATGCCCCATATTTTTTTTTTACAATAGGAGAATGACATTCTTCATTTAGAATATGATCACATCATCATCATCATCATCATCATCATCATCATCTAAGCCTTGTCCCAACCATATGGGGTTGGCTACACATTCGTCATGTAATATTGTTAAAATCTTACGATTTACGATATGATTCACGATTTGAATCATGAATATCCAAGGGTTTCAATTCAATTTGAATCTTAAGTTTGAATCCTTTTCTGCAAAAAAAAAAAAAAATATATATATATATATATATATATATTACAATTTTTGTTTGAATCCTACTATTTGATTCATATTACAATTTGTGCGATTAATTGTGACTCAAATTAATTCAATTAAGAATTAGTTATCTACTTTATCATTTTGTTTTGTCAAGGGTGACTTGTTTTAAAGACCTTACTAGAAACTGATTTATTACGTTATTTAAGACTATATATTGAGTTTATTTGCTATCTTGTGTTGGATAAAGAGCCATTGTATGTGGATCATTTGACTTTCAAGTCAAACTTGATTATTGTTTTAGGTGCATATATGGTAGATATGACTTAAAAATAACACTTTTCTATATATATTTAGTCTTTTAGGATGCCTAGATTTAATTTTTGACATCTTTGTAAAAATTAGAAATAATCTTACGATTTACGATACGGTTCAGGATTCGATTCATTTCAACTTTCTGGACGATTTATGATTTTTAGAACATACTCCTAGTTCATCATTCCCTTCTGTTTAGGCCATCCTAACAATTGTGAACACTTGAGGTCATTTTTCAGTACTTCAACCCATGCACTTTTTGTCACCTAATGGAACTACTTTCTTTTTCGATGAATCCTAATGGAACTACTTTCCCTTCTTAGACTGCTTTCCCTCATTTTGTCACCTAATGGAACTACTTTCTTTTTCGATGAATCCTAATGGAACTACTTTCCCTTCTTAGACTGCTTTCCCTCATTTTGTCACCTAATGGAACTACCCCCAGGTTCCTTTAAGCAATTCCATTTCCAATCCTCTCTTTCCTAGTTTTCCCACTCATCCATCTCAACAGTCACATTTCTGTCACACTCAATTTTTTATCTGATTTCTGACTGTCTAACACTCTCCTCCATACAACACTACTGGCCCTAAATCTCAACAGTTGTTGAATATATGTAGAGAAAAAGTTTGTCCTAAATTTCCATATACCTAAATTTTATGTTCTTCAATTAAAACAATTTTATCAAAAAAGGGAAATAAATGATGAAAGCAGGGTCTTCCCTGAGAATACTCAATTTAACAGCCTAATATCACCATAGAAACCATTGCAAAAAAGGAGCAAAAAGTCAGGGTCCAAAGACACAAAGGTGCCATTTGATAATTGCTGAAATAGGTGGTGAAAGTAGAAAAATATTCATGCAGACCAGTGCATGAGGCTCCCACCAATGCAGGGTCTGGGGAGGAGCAGACGTATGCAGCCTTACCCCTGCACATACAGAGAGGCTGTTTCCAAGAAACCCAAAAACAAGAGATGAAGAAAAAAAGGATGAAATAGATGATGGAACCCAGCTTAAAAAAATGATGGTCCAAGCAAAAGCAAGGAAGGGCAGGCAAAACTGGCTAAGTCAGATATGGGGACCAAGGTTCAAGGTATCACAACATATCAGTGTGTATTGTATGATACAAATTGGTTTTTGAACCCACTGATACATAAAATCCAAGGATTTAGGACAAAAGGACATTTCCAAACGTTAATACTCTTCCTAGTGACATTGATAAAAAAAAAATACTCTTCCTAGTGATAGCCTGGTTCAAATCTTTGAAATATGAAGCCTTTTAAAACTATGAGTATCGCTCCCTTGAATCTTCTTTTTCACGAACCATTTTCTTCTTCAAGTTGCTTCACTGTACTACTTAACCACTTACTCTTTCATCAAGGAAATAATTGGTTCTATTTTCTAGAAAAACTAAAGCCAGAGAAAGGTGAGATGATTCATTTTTTTCGTACTTTTTTTTCCAATGGTAATGATGACCATGTCTCATGCTCTAATGTTTTATAGAAGTGCTACCAATTCAAGCAAAAAATGATGTTACATAAGACATCACGAGGCTGTAGGCAGAACAAAATGTGCTTTTTCTTTATGATGGGAACATTCATAATTTTATTGATGTATGATTAAAAATTAGTTAGTTACACAGTTACAGAATGTGCCAAGCACAACTCTTTGATAGGCTAGCCCCTCTAAGTCTGCTCTCAGTCCAATGGAATATCTTTTTTATTTCATTTAATGTCTGCATTACAGTGGAAGGCAAAGAATATTACAGAGAAATAAGAAATATGGTACCCCTCATTCCAAAAAGTCACTTGCAACACATAAAATGTTGTATTCAAAATGGAAGAACTGATAAAAGGTTATTTGGAGAGAAACATGAGAAAAGTAAGGATACGCACTTCCAAACTCTTCACAAAAATTTGTTGGAAGACATAATGAATTCGTGCTCCACCAGACAGCTCAGTTGTTGCCATTTCTTCATTTTTCCCCTCAATCATTGATGTAAAGGCTGTCATCAACAATTCATCTATGAGCAATGAACTGAACCATATTCAAAAGTATCATGAAATAAAAGGGATGAACATGACATTAAATAAAGGATTGTCCATGGTTACCTTCACAGTATTTGGAAAGAATGTTCAGGAGGAGAGTTCCCTGACCAGCCTGTAAGTTATAAGAAGCATGTAAAACTGAACAAATACAAGGATAATGGTAGTATATAACTCTTAGCTTATAGGTAAAATTTTTCATAATAGAGAAACAATATACATCCCCTCTCCCTCCACCCCCACCTCCCCCCCCCCCAAAAAAAAAGAAGCATTTCAAAAGCGAAAACATTTGCATAAAGAACAAGTAATAGACTTGAGAAAGAATGCCATAGAACACAATCAATACAAGTTCACACTTAGAACTGTATATTGTATCAATGTCAAATTATGAATAAAACTCCTACCTTTGATTCTGTTATTTCCCCATAGCTGGAATGCTCCTTTGCCACAGAAACCAATGCTGAACTTATTCGTGACTTCAGACCTGGAAGCACTGTCTTTATGTGCTGCACCAGAACCTGAACACAAAATACCACATGAAGCATAGGTTAAAACAGAAATACAAGGAAATAGATTAGTGCTAATACAGTGTTTTAAAAGCACAAGGCACAAAAAAAAGTGCAAAGGCCATTTTGTGCCCGAGGTACAAGGCACAAGGTAAGGTGCATGCCTTTCTGAAGCAAGGCACAAAAAATGCTAAAAAATTCAAAAAATGCCAAAAAATAAAAATCAAAATATAAACATAATATTAATTAAAAATATAAACTTAAATTTTAAAATAAGTGCTTTAAAAAACCTATTATCTCAAATTAAAATACATAAACATAACATGTAAAAAAAAAAATTAAAACGAAAATTTAAAAATAAAATCAAGCATAACATATAAAACATATTCAAGCATCTAAACTCTTAATCCCTTTGTTTTTTTCCCAATTGCATTACTTCAAATAGCCTATGTGATGATAAACATTACGCATTCCTGATTCTATAAGCCGCCTTTGTACCAAGCCCCTCGAGACAAGCCCAAACAAGTCCATGTCAACGCCTTAAATTCTTAATCCCTATAAAAAAGGTTTTATAACTTTAAGTGTCTTTCAAAAATACCTTTTATCAAGATGAATGAATGAGCAATATCTTAGAGAAGGCCTAATGACATGGGTGATTGGTCTTTTATGATGCAAGTGTTGGATTGCTTTGGATTTGGGAAGAAATGGTGCAAATGGATATTGGGTTGTATTGAGACTCGTCATTATTCCATCCAGGTGAATGGAACTGTAGTGGATTACTTTCCAGCTATTAAGGGAATTAGACAAGAGGACCCCCTCTCTCCTTTCCTTTTTACTTTGATTGCAGAAGTTTTGGGGAAGTTAATTGAGAGAGCATATTCAAGAAGCCTTGTGAGGGGGTGGAGGGTTGGAAAAGATAGTATACCTATTACCCACTTACAATTTGTTGATGATACAATTATATTCTGTGAGGGGGAGGATGTGAAATGGGCCAGAAATTTAAAGTTGGTGGTTCAAGTGTTTGAACAAATGTCAAATATGAAGGTGAATTTTGATAAGAGCTGTGTGGTGGGGATCAATATGGAAGAGAGCTATAGTGGAGAGAGTTAAGGCTTTGGGGTGTGTGGTGTCTCAATGGCCTATGAATTATTTGGGGATGCCCCTAGGGGGTAACCCAAGGAAAGAGAGTTTCCATAGCCCTGTAATTGATAGGTTTACTAAGAAGTTAGCCTCTTGGAAGAAGAAGTACTTATCTCTAGGTGGCAGAATAACATTGATTAAGTCTATATTGGCTAGTTTGCCTATGTATTACTTATCAGTTTTAGGATCCCAATGAAGATAAAATAGGATTTGGAGAAGTTGATGAGGGACTTCTTGTAGGAACCAAGGGAGGAGAGGAAGGATTACGGGGTGAATTAGGAATTGGTCTCTAAAAGTAGGGCTGAAGGAGGGTTAGGATTAGGGAAACATTCGGAAGAAAAATGAAGCTCTGTTAGGAAAATGGATGTGGAGGTTGGAAGGTGAGAGGGATAATCTGTGGACTAGGGTAATTTTGAGTATTCATGGTTAGGCAAGGATGGTTGGGACATTGGGTCGTTGACAATGTCAATTGGAGCCTTTCCTTGGAAATCCATACATGCCATTCTACCCTCTTTTTTGCAACACATCAGGTGACCTTTGCTCTAGGAATCAAGTAAAACGTTGGGAGCACACTTGGGTGGGTGATGTACCTTTGAAAGACCAATTTCGTTCCCTATTTTCCCTCTCTCGGTATAAAGGCAAGGTTGTGTCTAGTTTTCTGGCTCCTTCTCAGTCTAACTTTGGGTTTGATTGGGACCTGGGATTTAGAAGAGGCCTAAGGGATTTAGAAGCTAGAAATGTCATGAACCTGATTTAGATCTTAAACGGGGTGGTGTTGGATCCCTCTAAGAGGGATAAGAGACTACGGACTCTAGCTTCCTCTGGGACATTCTCTTGTGCTTCCTTCTTTGAGTCCCTCTTGCATTCAATCAGCAACCTTGTACAGAAATTTCCAGTAAAGGAAGTTTGGGGTGAGCCGATTCCTCATAGTATTGGAGCTTTTTGTTGGGAAGCCTTCTTGGAAAGATGTAACACCTATGACTTGCTCCAAAGAAAAAGGCCTTTTTGGTGCTTGTCTCCAACTTGGTGTGTTCTTTGCAAGGCTAATGGTGAAAGTTCTTATCACTTATTAATTTCTTGCCCTTTGTTGTTGTTATTTGGGACTGGTTTCTTTCTTTATTTGGTTGTAGGTGGACTCCCTCCGCCAAATATTCAAAGCTTGTTTAGCTCTCCGTTCCTTAGATGGCCAAAGAAAAGGGGAAGGATTGTATGGAGGTGTGTGAGGGTTGCTATCTTTTGGACTCTATGGGAGGAAAGTAACTCCAAAATTTTTCTAAAAAGGAAAGAAGTAAAGAAGGTATTATTTAAGTAATAATAGTTAAGGCGCTGCACTGGCTAAAATCTTTGGACCTGTTTGATGATGTTTCTACAGATATGCTACTAAACAGCTGGGTGGAGGTGGCTAATTCTACTCCTGCTTGCTTTTTTGTCTCTCCTATGTGGTCACCACCAGGTTGTGGATTTATAAAGCTAAGTTTTGATGGAAGTAGCGAGGGCAATCCAGGTCCTTCAGGTGTAGGAGGTGTCTTCAAAGATGAGGATGGGAAGGTGATTGCATTGTACTGAGGTTCTATTGGGGTTGGGGACTCTCTCAAATCTGAGGTCTATGTTGTACTGGAGGGTATAAGAAAGATTAACTGAATATACAGAAGTTAGTTGTTGAAGGGGACTCTACGAAAGTGTTTTAAAAGCGCAAGGGCCAATTTGCGCCTGAGGTGCAAGGCACAAGGCGAGGTGCAAAATATAAAAAATAAAAAAAAAAAAGAAAAGCTAAAAAATAAAAAAAAAAGTCAAAAAAATTCAAAAAATATTAAACATAATGTTAATAAAAAATATAAACTTAAATTTTAAAATAAATGTTTTAAAAAAACCTATTATCTAAAATTAAAATACATAAACATAACATGTAAAACGTATTCAAAATGAAAATTTAAAACTATGATAAAATGGTTGCAGAAGGGGGAAGGGGTGACATGGCAGTTGAAGAATGAGTTCCGAAGACTAAAATGGATGTCAAGGGACATGTCAATCCAGGTGGGATGGGTTAGGAGATATGCCAACAGTTTGGCAGATAGTTTAGCGAAGCAAGGGGTTCAAAGAACACATATGTTTTGGGCACATTTGTAATTCTGCCCGGGGTCAGCTTACTGAAGCTGATTTCTTTCACAACTTCTCGTTGTATCCTAAAGTTTTCTAATTAATGAAATCTTTTCAGAGTTATTGATAAAAAATTTGAAAATGTAAAAATAAAAGCAAACATATAAAGCATTTTCAAGCATGTAAAACCCACAATCTCTTTTTTCCTTAATTGCATTGCTTCAAGTAGCTAATGTGATGTAAAACATATTGCATTCTAGATTCTATGAGTCGCCTTTGTACCACGCCCCTCGAGGCAAGCCCAAACAAGTCTATGTAAGGGTCCGAAATTCTTATTTCTCACATAAAAAATTATGATTTTATAACTTTCTTTGCCTTTTAAGAAGATATTTTATTGCAATGAATGAATGAACAACATTAGCAAATAGGGGGTTCTCAGAAGATATTTTAAAAAGGCACACGCCTGGGCTGAGGCGCACCCCTAGGCGCACCAGGCGCACTTCTTTTGAAAGGGGTGTGCCTAGGACCTGGGCAAGGTGCATAGGACCTGTGCGCCTAGGACCTGTGCACCTAGGCGCACCTTTTAAGTCACTGCTCTAAGTGTTAAGCTGGTTACAGAAGGAAAGTGGACTTCGTAAATTTGCTAGTTAAAGGAAGGAAATTAAATGGCTGACTAGGGGGCTGGACATCCGATTTCAGTGGAGGAAAAGAACAGCAAATGCATTTGCAGATGCTTTGGCAAAGCAGGGGGTGGGAAGGGACCAAATGTATTGGGCTGTTTTGTAATTTTTTTATATTGCTCTCTCAGAGAGAGTTAAGCCATTTTATCTCTCTCCAGAGTGTTGTATCTAATTTTTTAAGAATCTAATGAATTCCTGTTATTGATAAAAAATGAATGAGCAATATTAGCAAATATGGGAAGCTGCCAAGCATAAAAAATAGAGAAAAAAATGCACAAATTTTCAAAAGGTGCATGACTGGGCTCAAGCGCAAGGTACGCGGTGCGCGCCTTTGAAAGTGTTGCGCCCAAGACCTAGGCAAGGCACATACCATAAAATGCACCTTGCCTGTGCACCTAGGTGCACCTTTTAAATCACTGTGCTAATAGCAGGTCAAGTAGTTAAGAATTGTGTGGATGCTCCTAAATGGACAAACCATCTGTGTGGGGAGCAGTAGATACTGAATTCCATGGGTTCTGGATGGAGTGAACACTCTGCATATTGTTTCAGTTTAGTCCTTACTGGTTTGGCATAGTTGCACATTTACCATATATTATGATTTATGAATACCATCTTTTCCTTGTAAGACATACCTAGGTCAAAAAGATAAATAATGCCCTTCCTATAGGTGTATGAATCTTGAACTTCACAAGATACCCAATAAATAATTGCCAAAATCTTATGATTTACAATATAATTACTGATTTGACTTGCAAATATAAGGGTGCAACTTGAATTTCATGTCTGAATCCTTCTCTCAGAAGACCTTACAATAATTGTTTGAATGTTAAATTTGGTTTCTGAATCTTACGATCCATCCTATTCATTAGGAGTGCAAATTTGAAACTCAATTTGAAGAATATGCACTACATTGGGCCCAGGCACTTGGGCTAAGCTCCTTCAAAATTTATCAAATTCTCAACCCAGGCGCACCCATGTTGCACCCTTACAAAGAATGAGATTTGAATCAATTCAATTGGAATATAATTCTCTAATTTGTCATCCTTTTTGTTTTGATTTCCTTTCAATGGGCTTTTCTTATTCTTTTAAAATTTTTACTGAACAAAAATTTTATTTAGGTTATAAAAGAACTATCTAGAGACCTTATTAAGTTTATCTTCCATCATATATAGTTTATAGTCACTATATGTGGATCACTTTGGAGTCAAACTCATATATATTATCTTACACTTCTATTGTACATATAATGAACTTTATCAATATTAAGTAATAAGTACATTAAAATTTCACTTTTCTATATATTTAAGATTTTAGTATATGTATATTTAGTACATGACTACATGTGTATGTATATACGTATTAGTTTTGACAAACTTCTAAAAAATAATAATAATCTTATAATTTATGATGCAATTACAATTTTCAAAACAAAATTATTCACATTGTGTACCAATTATCTTTTCTCATGCATCCTCCTATGGTCCGATCCTTTATATTTTTTTCAACAAGTTAGGCCATGCCACAACAGCATTATCATCATTTAACTTTAGAAAATAATAGAATCTTCAGTTCCCTAGATTGCCAGCAGGTGAAGGGGGTATAACAATAGGAAATACCATGGGAAACCTCAGTGCACATTACAGAAGATAGATTATTTAGTTATGTCAATGATCACATTTGCCACAGAATATACACTTTCCTACCTGGTTCAACTTCTTTGCTAACTGAGGAATGCCACAACGATCACCAAGACCATTATAGACCTGTAACAGCATAAACAATAGATCAAAAGATTGCAAAGATGTTCCAAGACCACCAAAGAACCAAACCAGAAACATGACATACAGGGCGACTGCGGAAGAAGTTCTCCTCATAGGCAAGTGCATCCTTAATACTCCGGTTGTACATAATATCCTGATAAATTAAGAAAACAAAAAAAAGGGAACCTGATTTGTTAATGAGAACAAGAAAGTAAGGCTATGTTTGGTTTGAAGGAAAAGGTAGGGAAACCTATATAAGTTTTGTAAAGGTTTCCCTACTTTTCCCTGCTATTTCCTTCAAACCAAACACAGACTAAAAGAAAACAAAGGAAAGCCATAACACGTGAATAAAAAAGAGAAGCAGTAGTAAAAACATCAGAAGTTTATAGATATGCCTGCAAAGTAGCATGAAATGAAATTCTAAGAGATAAAATTAACAATTGCACTCCATGGACTTGGTGGTTAATGAGATTCAAATACTAATACTAGCATAACAGTTTTTCGCTGATTGCAAAATGTTTTTAATCAGTAGAAAGACAAGAACTTGGATTTTTTTTATTTTTATAAGCCGGTGAACATTTTCTGTTGCATTACTAAACCGATGTTTAACATATTCTTAAGATTTGACTTTTCAATTAGTGATGACCAAAAAACTAGTTGGGAAAAAGAAATGTAAACATATGTTCCTAAGCTTTTTTTAATGAAATGTAAAATAAATCAAAAATGAACTGTCAAGAATTCTTGCACATAAGGTAGCTATTACAGAGAAAAAATCCAATTAATTAGTTGCCATGAACACATGGTCTATTACATTTTATTCAATGCTTGGAAAAGATTTTGAATCCAAAACTAGTTGGTGTTACTTTAAGACCAAACCAATTTGTGTGAATAATTTCACTCATGGAAAATTAATATGTGAATCTGACCAAACACCCACAACATGTGTAAGTAGATGATACTTGACCACCAAATCAAATGAATGGAGTAAGAGATGAATAAATAAACATTTAACACCTGGATGATCAAGTATTCCTGCAGCAACTAAATCAAGTGATGCAGAGATATTAGACAATTTCTGTTATTCAACAACAAGATTACCTCTTGACTACGATTCACAACACCGACATAACCAAGTCGAAGAGGGATCACTTTTCCAAGCAAAAAATTACGGGCATCAGTACCTCTGTCCATAATATCCAACTGAAGCCACATAGAATATATTGTTACTAAAGCTCATCAGAATCAGTAAATGACATCAGCTTGCCACCATTCATAGTAATAATACTATAAACAAATGGCTTGCAGATGTTGCTTGAAGTACATCAATAAAATAAAATTTGTAAGTCAAAGCTGTTGCACCTTTGTAATTATACCAATAGTTCGATAACCTGCCAATAGAAAGACCACACATAACAGCATTAGGACCAAGCTAAAGGTCTTCCAGTAATTAATATATTTATGTGAAATACAAGTGATCAAAGCCCAACTTGAGCCACTGCAGGCCCAGTCTTCTAATATAGGTAGGGAGTAGGAACCTCTTTGCCAATCACAGTGCCTTGTGGGGTTGAGGAGTCATTTCAGACAGATAAGGAAGCATTACTTGCAAAACCAGCAGCCTGATTGGAGAATTGATTCCACTAAGGTGTAGATGGTGGGCCTTTGGACTTTGAGGGGCTATCTTATGCCTTCATCATTGTTGGTTGAAAGGGATTCCACCAATGCTATTAGGAAGGGAAAAAGAATTCAGGAGGGCCTTAGGAGTTAACAATACTTGCTTAATAAGAAAAGACTGATTTCAGGTGCAATACCACATTGAGATGTATTTCTAAAGGCCAAATGCCACAGTTGACCATTTGGCAAAAATAGGGCCCTGAAGGAAAGGGATCTATATCATGTCCTCAATGCCACAGTGAAGCTTGTATAATGCTTTTACTGTCTTGGGATGGGTTGATTATTTCTTGATTGATGTTTTTTACATCATTTTCATACCATTGAAGTATTAATACAATTTTTCAGATGTTGCCATTCAGGGAAAAAAACACCAAGCATATAGGAAAGTTTACCATCAGGATCAGCCATCCCTGCTATCTGAAGTGCATCTGAATTAGCCAAATCTGAATTTGCTGGAGATACTGCCAAAATTAAACAGCTAGGGTGTTTGATGTACGATAGTATCATTGTTCTAATTCTTGCTTCAATATCAGATGGCTGGTCACCAACTGGAACCTTTGTTATTCCAGGTAAATCCACAAGTGTGATATCAAGAACATTGGGTGAATTGATCTTTAGACGAATCTGCTTGTCTGAAATACCCTTGTTTCCTCCTGCTTCTCTCTCTGTCTCTGCCTGCAATTTAGAAAACAAAAAGTCTGTAACTACAGTCTAAAAGAAATTGTAATATCGAATGCACATGAAAATATAAAAATGAGTAAGGGGTGCAGGGAAGGTGTTATGGAAGCATTCCTCGGGAAGACGTACCGTCACCGCCGGCAGCAACAGGAACCTGACCCACCGCCAGCAGCAGCAGTGATTCAATGATTCTCATCCTACCCAGTTCGGCAACAGCAGCCTTATCTAGATTAGATTAGATCATCTTGCTTGTTCTTATCTTATTGTTCTTATCTTATTGCTCTTATCTTATCTTGTTAGTAGATTATCAGATTAGGATTAACTTATCTTATCCTTAGCAAGATAGAACTGGAAGTCTCCCTATTCAGCAAGGAGACTCCCTAAGATTAGGACTCTTGTAATCTCCTATTTAAGGAGACACCATTATTGAATGAGGATATCGAATATTCAATTAAAGAAGTGAGTTAGGAGAGTTGGTGATCATTTGAACAAATCACCAGAGGCGCCAAGATAGGTTCATCAGAGCAGGAAGGAACAAGGGAAAACAGGAGGTTTTCCCCATGGACCGACCCGTGACGAGATCCTATTCCCGGGCCCTCAACAACTTGGTACCAGAGCAAGGCGTCATGAGAGATCTGGAGCAGCTACCWTCCAGGGTCCACGACCTCGAGCACCAACTCGTGGAGACCAGCTCCGAAGTCCGTGAGATCAAGGACGAAGTGAGGGAGCTGCGACGTCTGATGGAGCTATTCCTTTCTAGCAGGGAAGGGAACTCTGAAGAAGGGACAGCCGCTAACGGCCGCCGACCAGATCTGCCAGAGTCTTCCGGCGAACAGCAGTCCGTTAGCCAAGGAGCCGCAGTCATCCCCAAGTATAGCAGGTTGGAATTCCCGTCGTACAACGGCAACGGAGACCCCTTAGGCTGGTTGTATCGCTGCGAGCAGTTTTTTCGGAATCAACGGACAGATGACCGACATAAGGTAAGTCTAGCCGCCTTTCACTTAACAGAGGAAGCACAACTTTGGTTTTATCGGTTAGAGCAAGAAGAACCCAGGCTCAGTTGGCCCCAGTTTAAGTCCTATTGCCTTCTTAGGTTCGGACCCCCACTGACCAGCAACCCCCTGGGCGAGCTGGTTAACCTTAAACAGACCGGCACAGTGGCTGAATACCAGCAACAGTTTCAAACCCTCCTCGTGAGGGCATCCGCCGTGCGACCCGACCAACAAGTGGATATGTTCACGGCAGGGCTAGCAGAACCCCTGCGGGTGGATGTCAAGATGCAGAATCCCCCAAATTTGGTCACAGCCATGAACTTAGCCCGCGCGTTCAAGCGCAAGCTGCAGCTCAGCCGCAGAATTTTTAATGTGGGTCGCCCACCAAACTCATGGGTACTCCCAAGATCAACAACAACGACCCCCTCTTCTGCTACCAGCCGGGAACTGAAATCTCACACAACCACCGCCTCTAGACCAGTGACAAGAACAGGTAGTAACATGGCTGCTCCACCCATTAAGCGTTTGACCAGGGCAGAAATGACAACGCCAAGCGAGAGACCAATGTTTCAACTGTGATGACCTCTACTCGGCAAGACATAGATGCAAGAGGCTTTTTTGCCTCCTCATCGATGAACAAGAGGAGGATGGAGAAGAACCTGTCATATTCGAGCCAGAGATCTCTCTCCATGAGATCACCGGTATTAAAACCTCTCAAACCATGCAGTTATAGGCACAGATAGCAGGTCAACCGGTGCGCATTCTCGTCGATTCAGGGAGCACATACAACTTCATAAGTGAACATGCTGCCCTTCAGTTGAAACTACCAATGGAACTCCGGCCGCGACTACAGGTAGTCGTCGCAAATGGTGAGAGAGTTCACAGTCCAGGAATTTGTAAGGACGTGCTGATACAGGTCAATTCTGAATTGTTTCTTGCTGATTTATTTGTACTCTCATTGGATGGGTTCGATATTGTTCTTGGGGTCAAATGGTTAATTACCCTAGGCCCGATTTTATGGGACTTCAGTGCTCACAATGACATTCCACCTAAATGGGAAGCAAGTTTCATGGCACGGTTGCAGGGTTAAAGAAAAGACACCACAGGTCCATGCACTTCAGACAGAACCGACAGCCATGGAAAAGCTCCTCACAGAGTTTTCAGATCTATTCCAGGAACCCAAGGGACTCCCTCCTCCCCAAACTTGCGACCATCGCATTCCTTTGGTGGCGGGTTCAGCACCAGTCGTTGTCCGACCTTATCGCTACCCTCACCTACAGAAGGACGAGATAGAAAAACAGTGTACAGAGATGCTGAAACAAGGAATCATATGCAAACAGTGTACAGAGGTTCTGTGTTGACTATAGAGAACTCAATGACCGAACGATCAAAGATAAGTTCCCTATTCCCGTTGTGGACAAACTGCTGGACGAGTTGCATGGTGCCCAGTATTTCTCTAAGTTGGACCTCAGGTCCGGGTATTTCCAGGTTCGCATGGCTCCCGATGACGTGAAGAAGACTGCCTTTCGCACCCACCACGGCCACTTCGAATTTTTAGTCATGCCATTCGGTCTCTCCAACGCCCCATCCACATTTCAGTCATTAATGAATGAGGTATTTCAGCCCCATCTGCGCAAATTTGTTTTAGTTTTTCTTTGATGATATCCTCGTTTACAGCAAATCATGGGTTGAGCATGTGCACCATCTGCAGACCATTTTCGAGCTCCTACGCCAACACAAATTATTCCTCAAACGGTCCAAGTGCTCCTTCGGGGAGCGATAGGTTCTTTATCTCGGCCACGTCATCCATGGGTAGGGTGTGACAGTTGATAGTTCCAAAATTCAGGCTATAAAAGAATGACCCAAGCCTCAATCAGCCAAGGCCTTACGCGGGTTCCTCGGATTAACGGGTTACTACCGCAAATTTGTACAGAACTATGGATTATTGGCGGCCCCGTTAACCAACCTGTTAAAGAAAAATTCCTTTCGGTGGGACGACGCAGCCGATGAAGCTTTTCTGACACTGCGAAATGCCCCGTCTTCCACCCCAGTCTTGGAATTACCAAATTTTGCCCTCGAATTTACAGTCGAGTGCGATGCCTCCAGAGTAGGTATCAAGGCCGTATTACAACAGCAAGGGCACCCGATCGCTTTCTTCAGCCGCAGACTAGCCGATCGGCATCTGAAGCTTCCAGCCTATGAGCACGAACTAATCGGCCTAGCCCGAGCTGTCCAACACTGGAGGCCGTATTTGCGGGGGCGGTCGTTCGTCGTCAAAACTGATCATTACAGCCTCAAATACCAGTTAGAGCAACGTCTCACCACTTCCCCTCAGCAGCATTGGGTTAGCAAACTGCTCGGGTTCGACTTTCGGGTGGAATACAAGGCGGGGTCCTCAAATCGCGCAACTGATGCCTTGTTTAGGCGAGATGAAGAAGCGATGGCTCTGTGTGGCATTTCCCAACCCCGGATCTCTCTGTTTGACGACATTAAGAAGGCAGCACCACAGTCCCCGGAATGGTCGCTCTTGGTCCAAAAGATCCAGTCTGGCACTGTCGACCCCAATTGGTCACTTCAAGACGAGTTGGTACTATATAAGGGACGAGTCCATCTTCCGCCAGACTCCTCATTGATTCCCACCATCATCACCAGCATACATAACTCCACCCATGAAGGCGTTCAAAAAACGCTACACCGCGTCCGAGCTGATTTCCATTGGCGAGGTATGAAGACTTCTATTCGAGATTTTGTCCAGAATTGCTCCACATGCCAACAGCATAAATGGGAAAACCTACACCCGGCAGGCCTCCTTCAGCCCCTTTCCATTCCGACATAGATCTGGGCCAACATCTCCATGGACTTCATTGAGGGACTACCCAAGGTAGGTGGCAAATCAGTTCTCTTCGTGGTAGTCGATCGCTTCTCTAAATACGCCCACTTCATTCCTCTATCACACACGTACAGTGCCACTTCAGTTGCCCTCGCCTTCTTTACACATGTTTTTCGCTTACATGGGTTACCAGAATCCATCGTCAACGATAGGGACCCGGTTTTAACTAGTGCCTTCTGGAAGGAGTTATTCCGGCTACACGGCACCACCCTGGCCTACTCATCAGCTTATCGGCCACAGACCGACGGTCAGACGGAAGTGGTCAACTGCACAATCGAGATGTATCTCCGTTGTTTCATAGGCGATCAACTGCGACGGTGGGTGGATTGGCTCCCTTGAGCCGAGTACTGTTACAACACAGCCTACCATTCTTCCCTCGGCATGACTCCCTTTCGCGTCGTTTATGGTCGGGATMCTCCCCGCTTGCTGTCCTACGAGCCCGGTTCTACTCGTTTGGAAGCAATTGATCACTCCTTACAAGAACCAGCTTCGCTTACAGCAGGCCCAGCTCCGCATGAAGCTCAACTATGACAAGCACCACCGGGAACTGTCGTTCGATCCAGGACAATTTGTTTGGTTAAAACTCCAGCCCTACCGGCAATGCTCCTTGCGCCATAGGGCTGCCCCAAAGCTGGCCCCTAAGTTCTATGGGCCCTTCAAGGTTCTACGACGGACTGGCAATGTGGCCTACCAGCTGGAATTGCTAAAGACCAGCCGGATTCATGATGTCTTCCACATCTCCTTGCTGAAGCCATTTACAGGTGTTCCTCCGGACCAAGTCCCCTCCCTGCCACCCTTGAAAGATGGCAAACTGGTTCCCCAACCTAAAGCTGTCACCCGCTCTCGTTTCAATCATGGAATTCTTGAAGTCTTGGTGGAATGGTGTAATTTACCATCGGCCGAAGCCACATGGATCCCATTGGCAGAGTTCCACGCCACATATCCGAAGTTCGAGCTTGAGGACAAGCTCGTAGTCTAGGAGGGGAGTAATGTTATGGACGCATTCCTCGGGAAGACGTACCGTCGCCGCCGGCAGCAACAGGAACCTGATCCACCACCAGCAGCAGCAGTGATTCAATGATTCTCATCCTACCCAGTTCGGCAACAGCAGCCTTATCTAGATTAGATTAGATCATCTTGCTTGTTCTTATCTTATTGTTCTTATCTTATTGCTCTTATCTTATCTTGTTAGTAGATTATCAGATTAGGATTAGCTTATCTTATCCTTAGCAAGATAGAACTGGAAGTYTCCCTATTCAGCAAGGAGACTCCCTAAGATTAGGACTCTTGTAATCTCCTATTTAAGAAGACACCATTATTGAATGAGGATATCGAATATTCAGTTAAAGAAGTGAGTTAGGAGAGTTGGGGATCTCTTGAACAAATCACCAGAGGCGCCAAGATAGGTTCATCAAGAGCAGGAAGGAACAAGGGAAAACAGGAGGTTTTCCCTGTGGATCGACCCGTGACGAGATCCTATTCCCAGGCCCTCAACAGAAGGTGTATGGTCGAAGATAACCAAAAATAGGTAAAAGTAGATTAAGTGAATAGATAACAGGTAGAACCTCATAATCAGTCATAAATCTGTTGGGAATAAGATAACTACTAATATTATAGTATAAACAAACTATAACCTGGAAATAATCCTTTCTTTCTAGGCCTCTAGAAACAAAGAAACAACAACTTCAGTGGTTAAAATGAACAAAGAATAGAAACATCCAATTCCCCTAAAGAAATAATTCTTTTGGTGGGTAATATATTGATTCAGAAGTATAGAAATAGGTATTTACAAACCCAACGCCATCCTGTTCAATGAAGGAAAGAATGCTAGCAAATTCATCTATATAAAAAAGACAATCATAACAACATAACAAGAATAAAAGACAGTCAATTGCATCCTGAGAATAGGATAATTTACAAGTTTCCATATCAGAAACTTGTATACTGTGCATATTCAATTTTGGGAAAAGAACTCACTTGTGAATGCCCATGGTAAACTTTTTAATTATGATGATCAGATGATTAAGCAAGGAAAAAAGACAGTAGACCATAGTGAACTTTTTTTTCCCAATCCTGACTTACATGGTAAAGGAATTTATTTAAACATTTTACCCTAGAGGCATACAGGAAGGAACAATCCCCCATCTTCTTTTAATGAATACACCAGAGTTTCTTAGCAAACTTGCACCTAGATTCTGAAGCCCTGGAAGGTATGAATGATGGAACCTTTTACCATAGATAGAACTGTAAAAGCTTATGATTATGTCTCTTAATTAGTTTGTTAATGATCATATGTTCTTTTCCAAAGCCATTCATGACAGTGTCCTTCAGCCAGGTCTTCATAATGGAGAGCTTGACAGCTAAGTAGGAACAGCATGCCTAATTACTGTGTCCTTGCAAAAAAAAAAAGGTTAAGTTAAGTTGTAAACCATTTTTTTCCTACTGTTCAGTTGTCCATAAAAGTTATTAGTTATACTCTGATTCTACTCACATTTTGCTTTCAGTTTTTCTCCATAAAGTTTACTAGGATGGGTTAAAAACAGTGGAATTTTGGAATCAATGGGATCCTACAGAAGCTGTCCATCTGTGCTTATTTGCTGGAACTTATGGAAACAACATTAGACCTTATTATTGAAGATAAATATCACACTTTGGATTAATAGAAGACAAAAGTCATTTATTTCCTGTTTGTCCTCAAGTTTAAAGATGTAAATTTAATATCTTTATGCCCCATAAAAGAATATTATACTCCATTAGAATCCTTATCATTTATATTGCCTAGGCATTTGCATCAGAGAAGATACTGGTTCCACTGAAACTTTTCAGTAGTTCTTCGACTTGCAATGAAGATTTTTATTTTAACACGAACCAGTGATTTAAAAGGCGCGCCTAGGCGCACAGGCAAGGTGCATTTTGTGTGAAAACTAAGAATTTAAGACCTAATGTGGACTTGTTTGGGCTTGCCTCAAGGGGCATGGCACAAAGGCGGCTCGTAGAATCAGGAATGTAATATGTTTTACATTACATAACTATGTGAAGTACTGCAATTGAGCCTTCTCCATCTTATGTATTTTAATTTTAGATAATAGGTTTTTTAAAGCATTATTTTAAAATTTAACTATATATTTTTAGTAATATTATGTTTAATATTTTTTATTTTTTTGAATTTTTTGGCTTTTTTTTTGTATTTTTGCGCCTTGCTTCAAAAAAGCATGCGCCTTCCCTTGTGCCTCATGCGCAAATTGACCCCTGCGCCTTGCACTTATAAAACACTGACACGAATAAGTTGCTCAGCAGAAAGAGAGAGCCGAACAACATCCCAGAGATTAACATAAAACCGCAAACACCTAATAAAAACTTTTCTCATATCCACCAATGGACTCATTGATGACTCTGTGGGATACTTCTGTTTGTATTGAATTATGCCTTTAGGAGCAGCTATAAGAATAACTAACTCTTTGTTCATCAAGAATTTATAGCGATCAAATCAGCCTTTCATCAAGGTAATTGGAAGCTATGCTGTGCCACCCTGAGCCTGAGTAAACCAGGGTATGTAACTAGCTCTTGCTTCTATTTTTAGACTTTAGAAATGAGTAAGTTCGTGAAGCCGGAATCAATACGCATTGAATGATTGAAATATAAATGGTTCTTCTTTCCCGGGTAACTACTAACTAGATTATGGAAGAATCCGTGCCCGGTAGCTACAAGAAAACTATACCTTTCCATCATTGTAAGTGAGGATTGCACGCCTAATGCCCTAATACTAAAAAATATTGATTAAGAACTCTAACGCCATTTATAGGGATCCAAAGCCCAAGTAGACTCCAATTTTCCGACCTTTCGGCAAACAAAATTGAACGTAGTAATCATATAGAGGAAGGAAACCACCCGATTTTCAGTTACTACTGGGTAGACATGTGAAACCTAACCTGAATTTCCTTGCGGATTTCGGAAAAATCGTAGAATTTCTTCCTTGGCAAGTGCAGGAACTCTCCATACTCCTCCTCCGTTCCATCTGGTTTCCGTTTCGTCTGCACTAGCTGCAAAACCAAGGGCCTTCGGGTACAGATATCCGAACCCCTGGGCAAAAAGTCCCTCCCCACCAGAGCTTCAAGAACACTCGACTTACCGCTACTTTGGCTCCCAACGACGGCAACCTGCGGCAGCTCGATTGTGGAGGAGCTCCCAAGCTGGGTGAATATGTCTTGTAGCTTGTTGATAATCGGAATCATGGAATAACCGAGAGGAGCAGAACTCGACGGGTTATGAGGAGTAGAAACTGGTTCTTCGGCCATGGATGGCTGCCGGAAGATCGAGGCTGTGCGAGACTAATATCAAATACAAATCTATCAAGCAAAGAAGCCCTAAATTTGCCTGACGTCGATAACCAAACCCTAATTTGAACAAGCAGCACGTACGTAATAGTAAAACAAATGTTCTGGAAATTTGGAGGAAAACGGGGTGTGAGGATTTTGACCACCGTCCGAGCAATCGAAGCTGCGAAGACGGAGAGGAGTGGGATTTCCAATTCTAGTATCCAGAAACATGGAGGGAGGTCTACGGCTCGGGTCGATTAAGCCTGTACGGTACCTGTGATAAAATTACCAAAATGCCCTTCTTGATACCATGGACCCACCGTCTAAAACTAGCGGTTGGGAGAGGCGCGAGATCTTCTGTAATCCCACTGTGTCTCGTTACACGAAACCCCTCACCAAACGTGCAAGAGTAAAACCCTGTTTTCCACTTTTCCTTCCTTTCCCGGTTTCTCCACCACGATCACGAGCGTCTCCTCCTCCTCTCTCTGACTCTCTCTCTCTCTCTCTCTCCACCTTTGTCTCCTCTCACCGTCGGTTTCTCTCTTAGTCTCCTCCCCCCTTTTTTCTGTACACAGTTTGCAAAAGTTATTCTCTTTGGCCATTTATCTAACAGTCGGCACTTTGAGTCCCTTCAACGGTGTTTCGTAGATTTTGGTAAGAATATGGGAGATGGGATGTCGCTCGATGTTTTGCCTGCATCCACGACAAGCAGTTGAACCATCCATTGCTCCTGGAGCTCTAAGGAGTTCTTTTCACCAATAAGTCTGTTGGGTTCTTCATGGATTACTACCCAATCGAAACCAGAAAGGTAGACAACTGCCCATTTATCAAAAATTTTGCTCAACAATATCTGGGCTTGGATTATTTTCAGGCCTCTTCAAAAAGACCTCCAATTGAACCGCGTTTATTTACCCGGCCCCGATTTATATGCGTGCGTGTGGACGAGTCAAGCCGTGGAAGAGCTTACGTGTTTCCCAAGTCTTCACTTGCAGTTTATATGTGCCCAGAATTTTCAAGAAGCAGCCCAGACGTGTAGCTTTCTTTCGCCTTATAAAACACCCCTTCCCTTGCATCGATCAACCATTTATTTCTTGCGCTCGCAATATACGTTCCGCTTCGTTTCGTTTCTATCTGCTCAATCGGTAATCATGCCTCGCCGAAGCTCTGGAGGTAAGAATCGTTTCTTTCTTTATATGTTATATTGCTCATGCACCACTATTTCTTGTTCTTCCTATTATTATTGCAGACAAAGTTTCACATTATTTGAGCTGGATTCTTATTTTCACGTCTTGGAGATGAGTTTTTGGGTTTGGGAAATGTTTTTTATTTATTCTAAGTATGCTTCTCTGGGTTTGTTGGTTGCATGTATTATTGCATTTCATTGCATTTAGATTGATTTTGAATTGGAACTTAGAATATGTTGTCTTGTTTTCATCCAATCTTTTCGTTTTTTTAAATTGTTTCTGATTACGAGTTCATCGTGTTACAAGGTATTCATCCTTTAAACATTTATTCGAAATTATAATATTAGAATTCAGATCCATTCTAGATCAGACTTATATAGATGGTGCAGCGCTTGATCCACCAGTGTTGGTGGTTGCGGAAACAAACAACAATGTCGGTTGTTTCTTCCTCCCTTTAAGCTCTGATACTTGCTTAGCTTCTAGGTTCTCTTCCTCTGGCTGTAAACTCATAATTCACCCCGTCTTTGGTGGGACAATATGTCTTTGCCAAATAAAGGATTAAGTCAAGAGGATTTCTATTTGTTGACAAACCTTGCAGGGACATATTCTGTACTGCTATAATTGACATCCATGTATATATTTGTTGTATATTTGAAGCGAATTAAGTTCTTTACACAATTCATACAACCGATACATGAAAATTGATCAGAATATGAATTAAAGGAATGACAATTGATAATAGTAAAGCTCAACCCTAAACAGTACAGACTACGAAGATCAATGCTGGGACATTGAACATGCGTTCCCCACATTAACCTCATTGGAGTTAAGTGATTGTGTAAAAGAAAATTAGATGAAAGAAAACTTGTAGAGGAAATAATCCATCTGTACTACTTTTGGCCATGTACTTGTAGATTGATTTTTGAAGAATAATCCATCCTATAATCCTAATGGCATTTATGCAGGAAGATCTTCTCTTGGCAAGACTTCTCATCCTTCTCCAGTTCGTAACCCTCCTAAGCCTGGTAAGGTTATGATACTATTTTATTGATAAGCAATCAACTTACATATTACTGCAGTGCTTTTTTTATGCTACAAGTTGAGACTATTGCATCCCCCTCCCTGCAACCTGCACTGGCAAATATTGAAGTAAGGAAGCAGGGTCACAAGATTTGGTGTGTCTAATAGGAGAATTCCCCATAACCATATATCCATTGTTGCACCAACTCCTATGGATGAAGAGCCAATAAAAAGCTTACCTAGATATGGTGGTTATACCAATCTGTTAAGGCTATTTTTTTAGCTTCTTGTCAATATCAAGTTCCATTAGGTGTGGCAATCAGATTTATTTCATGCATAATGTTTCAAAGCAGGACTTTAATAGCCATACCATCTGCCTTCAACCAATTAACCTAAAAGAATTTCTCCAAGGGTGATTGCTTGTAGGGGTGCAAATGGATTGGATCAAGATCCAAACTTATCTGAAATCCGATCCTATTTTGTCAGATTCAGATATCCCCATTTTGGAATTTCAGATCAGATAATAGAATCCAATTAAAATCGGATGAAATTTGAATCACCCCCTATCTGATCCAAAAGAATCTGATATATGTTATTTATTTATTTATTAATATGTTTATATTGCATTTTTGTAATCTTTTATATTATTTATTTTTTATAAAAAACATGTATATATATGATGAAAATAGTTGAAAAAATACTCGTATTTTTTTCTCTATATAAACTGTTATGTTTTCTTTTCATTTTAATAATTTTTTAAATTTTTATTAAATCAGATTGGATCATATTCGGATATCCAACATCCTTATTGGATTCAGATTCAAATCAATGTTTGTGAGATCTGATCAGATCGGATCTATGGTTTATAGTATCGGATCAGATTTGGATATACCCTGCCTCAAATCTGATCCAATCCGTTTGCATCCCTAATTGCTTGGTGTGAGGGTAAATTGTTGACAAGAGTGAGGAAATGGATTTGAATCTATGGGCATCTAGTGCAAAAAATGCTGGATATGATGGCCTTTTAACAATCATCATGTTAATGTGCTTCAGTTTTTTTCCTCTTTTTTTTTCCTGATCCTGAAGATCTTTTAGTTGAGAAAATCAGAAAGGATATTCTGTTCTTCTATATTGGGCTTATTTATGTGTTGTATCTACATTCTGGACCATAATTGTGGTTTTAAATACCCATTTTATCATCTTTCCCTCAACTTTAGCCTGAGTTCTTCTAGTACCTTTGCGGTTTATGTCAAGTGAAATATCTTATCTAGTAATTTACTGTCATTTTGATCTGAAGTTGACGATTTTAATTGGTTTACTGCTACAGCAAGTCATGCTCCTCCTCCAGTTGTACAAGGTGGTGGAAGCATATCAACTCCAGGCCTTGGTGCTACTTTGGCCGAAGGTAGTAGATTCTCCCCTTTCCATTGAAAAAACATGTTTAGCTAATAAAAATGTAAGAATTGACCTATAAGAGTAGTGAATTCTGTGTATTATCTGTTTGCCTATTTCCTAATCTTTATATTCATGGTTTTGCAGGCATTGCTTTTGGCAGTGGCAGTGCAATTGCCCACAGAGCTGTTGATGCTATGATGGGTCCTCGAGTCATTCAACATGAGACAGTGGTCTCAGGTGCTCCTGCTGCAGCACCTGCATCTAATGTGAACGGTATTGGAGGATCCGATGCATGTGGCATTCAATCAAAAGCTTTCCAAGATGTATGTTCATTATCTGAATTATTAACTATTAGTTAGCAGGCCTATATGTATGTTTTTCATTACCAACTATTAGTGACTGCTGCAAATAACATGGTGATTGGTGCCATTAACATGTGTTGACTTGATTGGGTGGTAAAAGGGGATTTGTACACAGTAATGAGTCCTTGATGTTTTTGATAAACCTTGAAGTGTCACTGTTGAAAATATGATTTTAAATCTTTAGGAAATTTGCACATGAAAGGGAGCTTCTCAGTTCTCATTTCTTCAGACTATCAGTTATCTTCATGAATTTTCCTTTTGTTTATTTGTATACATAATCATGCATAAATGTCCATATGTATAAGAAAGTTTCCTATTGAAGCATTTGAAGAATCATATGTTCATTTGTAAAAGGCTCTGTGTCCTTTGCTATACCAAGAACATGGGCTATATTTGCAAATTGTTTTTTGGGGCTAACGTTGGCTCTGTCATTGTTAATGAGCCATGTTGCCTATGGTTTATCCACTGTTACGTGTTTTTTTAATCATTATCGTTTGGATGCCAACATTCATAAACTTTCCAAGCAATTTAAGCTGCAAGAAATGTAGTGTTTGAAGTTATGGAAGTCTTTTGGTAAGTTGGATCCTGTGTTATCTTGTTTTTGTTATCTTTTTCTTGCCAATAACGATCTACACCTTTCATAGATTCATATGATGTAAATCATGCAACAGTACCTTGTCTTTCTTTTACCTTTTTTTTTTTATCAGCAACAGAAATTTCATTAATTAATAATAAAAGTACCTCTGTCTTCTTTTTGCTTTATTCTTTGGCATTCTGTTTCTATATTATCTATCCTGTAAATGTATGCATATTCTAGTACTTGCATGGAACATAAATAAACCTGTTCCAGTAATGTTAATTTGGAGACAAAGGCAACATAAACTTTTGTATTAGGCTATGATTATTTTAAGGGTCCGTTTGGTTCGCAGTCGGAATTGGAATCAGAATTAAAATCCTCTGCAATTGGATGGAATTGGAATGGTCTATTCCCATAGTCTGTTTGGTTCAGACAGGAATCATAATGAAAATCGGAATCAGCCGGAATGGGATTTCATTCCCAAGGGAGGGGGAGTGAATGGCCACTCCCTCAAATGGGGGAATGCGATTCCACCAGGAATGGGAATGGGATTCTGATTCTGCCCAACCAAATGATTGGAATTGGAATGGCCCATTCTGATTCCAATTCCACACCCCTATTCCTGCAAACCAAATAGGGCCGTAAATGTTGGATGAAAGTGTGCCCCAATATCTGTTCTAAAGCATCATATTAAGTGAAGATTAATAGGGTTTAGATCATTGTTTTGTTTCTCTTTGTATCATGAGTAATCTTGCTGAAAAATTTATGTATAAACAAGACATAAGGTACATTCTATCCTGTTTTTGTTTTATTCTGAATTTCTGATGCCTTTTTATCTTGCAGTGTCTAAACAATTATTCGAGTGATATCAGCAAGTGTCAATTCTATCTAGACATGTTGTCTGAGTGCCGCAAGAACCATGCTGGTGCAATGGGTGCCTAGGTTTTGTTTCAGCACATCATGGATTTCTTAACCCCCCCCCCCCTTCTATTTTTTTTCTTTATTTCTTACCTAAATTCCAAGTGAATATATGTGGGTTTATCTGATAATTGGTTGGATAAGGATAGGTAGGGATTGATCAAATAGCACCTATTACTTGGTAAGAGGCTTTATATGGGCACCGATTGTACTGCCAGATGAAATTCACACACGCGACTCTTTGGAGTATTTCTGAACATAATATTATTATGCTTATTTTTATTGTGAGCCCTGTTCCTGCACTTTAACTACTTAAGAGCCTTTACTGAAATAATGTTGTGGGCTTGTGGCCTTGTGGGTTGATATTCGGCTGCATTTGGTGGGGCTCCTTGCCACTAAACGGGTTTCTTAGAAGCACTTTTCCGATAAACACTTCTAAAAAAGTACTTAAATTCTGCTTGGTAAGGTGCTTTTTCTAAAGAAAAAAGGAATTATTTAATAACATTGCTTGGTTCAAAATGAGCTTTTGCCAATATAAAGACAATATTGCCACAATCTTGTATAAGCTATAAACATAAGAAAACATGTACCACATTGCTTGGTCCGATCCATGTTCATTGTATGAATAAAACAAGAAAATGTATGAATCAACCTGGGTCATCGCGCTGTTGGAGGTGTTTGATTCAAAACATAACAATAAAAGAAAAAAAAAATAATAAAGAAGGGTGAGATTGAGTGATGGGAATCAACATTCAATCAATTTTTTTTAGGAAAAAAAAAACAAAAATACAAGAACCGGAAATCAAACCTGGTTGTAGCTTGCCAACGTTGCAAGTGGTGACAAGTGAAAATAGAAAGGAAAAGCAAGGAAGAAGATGGGGGCATTCTTAGTATTAAGAAAAGTTTAAATGGGCAAAATTGAGATGGGAAATAAGAAGCGCTTCTTGAAAACATCCATCAATTGATTTTTCTAATAGGCTTTTTCCACAAAAAAAAATGTTTATTGCTTTTGGGGGGTGATTTTGGCTTTTGAAATGCAATAATCACTAGAAATGCTTATTTTAAGCCCCACCAAACATGGCCTTAGGGTATGGGTGATCATGGGCCGGGCCAGGCTTTGCACTTATGATAAGGGCTATAGCTTAGGCCCGTGCCTGACCTGGCCTGGGGTTCTGGGCCTGAAACATAAGTCCTAGACCAGGTTTATACGGGCCAGGCTGGGCCTGATTTCGGGCCAATGTCACTCATATACAAAGCATTACATATCTATATATTAAATGACATAACATGCATATAAACTTATTTTATATATTTTATAATATAAAATATTACATATAATATAAATTATACATGTTATGTTATAATAATTATATATAAAATATATAATATAATGTAAAATAACATGTATATATATGTATACATTATACACAAAATGTGTAAGTTTAAATATATGCGGGCTGGGCCGGGCTTGAAGTATTAAGTTCAAGCCCGATCCTAAAATTTGTGAGCCTAATGTGGGCTCGGGCCTGAACACAAAACATAGGCCCAATCCTGAAATTTTTGGGTCGGGCTTGTGCTGGTCGGGCTGGGCCGGGCTGAAATGATCACCCCTACCTTAGAGGACCAAAACATGCCCATCAACCTTGTTCAAAAGCAATGATGGTCATGCTTAAAAGCAAAGACCTGTCTATAGGAGAGGATGTCTCTTGCTTTCCAAAGCTTGAGATAGCTTTGCCAAGAGAATGGCCACAAGTTGTGATCTTGTGATTGCCTTCAAACCGAGGCATATAAGGTGTGGTTGTTTTGTTTCTTTCACGTACCCATTTTTATTTGGGCTGAAAGATGTAAAAGCTAGCTATGAAAAAAAAAAGGGGAGAATGACAGTTCAGCCCAAGGTCAGAATCTTTAGGCCCAAAGTACAATTGGGGTGGGTGTCAGCTCGGAATTGATACCAATCCACGGGTGGGCATTGGTGTATAGAGTGGGGGTTTTTGATATTTTGAATGTTTATTGATTTGTAGTGGAATTCAGAAATCTGCATTGGGGTTGTCTGTACTTTTTCGAAAAAACTGCATGAAATGGGCTAGAATTTAGAATGGTTGTCTGCCAATGCCGTGATAAAGCGGTGGTTTTGACATTAATCGGATTAAATGGATAATGAAAATTGGTGATAAAAGAGGGATTTTTGGCTCAGAAATCTGAATTGCAGCCCCCTCCTAGTCTACTAGTAGCCCCCCCTATAAATCGCATCTTACCCGTGGATTTGGCATCAATCCATGATCAAGATTCAGTCCACCCCTAGAGTGGAGCCCTAGATTTATAGGGGTGGACTAACCTATAAAAACTCCTAAAAAAATGGATAATTGAGTATATTCCATTTCTAAATCCTTTGGGCTTAGTGTCACTTTGGTTCCTGAATTATAAAATGCGACAATTCAATATCCAAACTTTCAAAACATACCAATTTAGTACTTATCGTTAACTAGTTGCTAAGTGGCATTTGAAAAGACACAAATGCCCTTTAGTTGTCAACTAATTTTCTTTATCAACCATCTAAGTGTTGATAAAAAATGAACAGTCCCAAATCCTTGTCTCTTTTATTCAAGAAAGTTGGGGTCACTAGAATGCCCATTGAAATGTGACCCCAACTTTTTTGAATGGAAGAGGGAAGGATTTGGGACTGTTCATGTCAACATTTGGATGTTTGATAAAGAGAATTAGATGACACTCAAAGGGCATTTGTATCTTTTCAAATGCCACTTAACGGCTAATTAATAGCAGGTACCGGATTGGCATGTTTTAAAAGTTTGGGTAATGAATTGTCACGTTTTAAAGTTTGGGAACCAAAGTGTCACTAGGCCCAAAGTACAGGGTACTAATTAGAATTCCAAAATATTCACAAAGTTCTAAACATCTGGGATCCTAGGGGCTAATATGAAAAGTAGCAATAGTCCTAGTCTAAAGTTTTAGCCATATTTGCGACCAAATAGGTGGGGCATTAAACTTCCTATTAACATGAGAATAAGAAACAGAAGCAAAATGACGACATAACTCTCAGGTCTTAGCTAAGAACCAAAAGCATGACCATGGGAGCCCAATATCAGATTGGAAAACATTCACCACTTGTTTTGAATCTGAATAGATCAAAATATGCACAAGCAAGATAGGCGATGCAAACTGGATTCTTGGCTAGATCAAATTTAAATTGCATTTGATAAATCTGAAATCTAAAAAGTTAAAAATATATTATTTGTGTCTGAAATCTAAAAGGAAGCATAGGTGCTATTCTAGTTTTTAGAGGCTCTAAATCAATAAGTTTGTTTGTGTTAGATCAACCCTTTACCATATGAAATTCACTGATTTTACTATTTTACCCCTACAACATACTATTTGGAAATGTTGAGTTCAATTTGCATTATCTCATAAAAAATAATTTTCAACTTCAAAATAATATTGAAACAATACAAATAAAAAATAATAAATTAAAAATTAGTAATTACTAATTAATAAATGAAATGACTAAAATTAAAAAATAATTAATGACTATAAAAATATTAAAATAATTAATAATTAATAATTTACACAAATAAAAATTAAAATAATTTTTAAAAATTAATGAAATGATTAAAATTACTAGTTAATAAAAATAATTAATAATTAATAAATAACATAAGTAAAATTAATAAAAATATAAAATATTTAATAATTAATAACTAAATATTTATTATTATTAATTATTGATCCCTCACCCTCTTGACAGCAAGTGTCGCTACTGAGAGAGAGAACCGCCGCTGCTATGAGTTGTAGCGACAGTGGCCAGAAGACAAGAGAGAGAGAGAGAGAGTGGGGTAGGGGTATTTTTTACTTTAGGCCACGTCTGAAACGCGCCTGATCACGTTAAGTGGCAGGCTTGGGTCTTACAATTTCATATCTGAAAAGTTCATATTTTAGATGCAACACCAAATAAGCATTGCATCTGAAAAGCAAATATTTCAGACTTTAGATTCTTCGATCTACCCCCTACAATTCCAAGACAGGCCAAAGATTTAGTTACACATATAACTCCAAATGAACACGTATCAGGAGGAATCTTACCAACATCAACAAAGATAATTAAGTTTAAATTTGACGTTGTAGGAAGGGTGTCAATGGATCGGTTTTGGACTGGACCCCGTTCAGTCCAAAATCAATTTGAACGAATTGGACAGACCAAAAAGACGGTGGATTGGACCAATTCGATCCAAAATATTTATTAAATTGGACTAGGCTGATCCGTCTGTAATAAATTTATATATGGATTTGATTGGATTAAGCCAATATCCATTCCATTGACATAAGATAAGAATATAGGTGTCAATGGACCGAGTTTGGGTTGAAACCAATCTAAATTAAAACGAATTTAAACAAATTAGACGGTGCAAACATTGAATTGGACCAGTCCAAAATGGTCCAAATTATTCATTAGATTGGATTGGACCTGGTCCATTTATAATGAACTCACATTGGACTGGATCGGATTGGACCAAATTCAGTCCAATGGACACCCTACTTGTAGCTAGAGAGACCTTCTCTCGGCTTAGGATTGGAGGGCTCACATCGCGAGGAATCAAATTTACGGAGAAATATAAGGAATTGATTTTCCCAATATTAGCTTGAGGATTTGGATTCCTCTCTCTAAAGCATCTGTCATTCCTTGCACACCAAATGAAGTATAGAGCTATTGCATACCAACCTAGGGCCAAGTTACAAGTAATTCTACTATTAGGAAGATTAATAAGTAAATTATTAACACAATTCAGCCAAGAGCCATTAAAAGTTGCTTGTAAATTGATGTTTGAATAGGTTGCAAACAAAATTGCTTTAGAAAATGAACACTTAAAGAACAAATGATTTAATGATTTTGGGTCCTGATTGCGAAGGACACATTGTTGATCTTGAGAAGACAAAAACAGGGTCTGCTTTACTGGAATATAACTGTTCACAACCCTCCAAAAAAAACAGTTGAAACCTTAGGGAAACGAAATGTTTCCAAATGACCTTGAAGCATTTTCTTTGAAAATTAGACACTAGGCTCAAAAGAGGATTTGGAGCTTGAATATAGCCATGTTTCACCGTAAATTCATATGAGGGGTGACAGGTCCAAACCCAATGAATTGAATTTTCTTCAGGGAATACTGGTGTGTTGATAATATCTCGACTAATCTCATCACTTAGACGATGATAAATAGCCTACTGATTTCAGTCCCCATTCAAAATAAAATCCGAAATCGGGACATTTTCTAATTCTG